GGCAGTCAAATTCTTTCTAACAGTAAACAAATCCATGTTTAACCCTCCTCTTGAGGGTAAAAAGGTTATCCGACACTTACTCTTCGCATGTCAGCAGAAAGTACATTTCATGGTCCTTTCAATAAAGCCATAAAAATGCTAGGTCACCGCTGAAACAAAAAAGTTTTCCAATCGCTCCGTCAGACCATGTCCTCAGAAAATGTCTAAAATCTGCCCTGTGCCCCATTGACCTTTGACCCGTGACCTCCAATTTGATGGCTTTTCCTACCATAATGCTATACACCGACTATCACGAGCGTAGGTCGAGCCGTTTAGATTTGTGCTGCAATTCTGCATTTCCTCCCTATACCTTAAGTTAAGGAGGGAATGTTCCCCCTTCTTTTACATCTCTTCACCTTTGACCTTTGACCCCCAGCTTCGACATCCCAACTCGTTTTGACGATCCCCCCAACGTCCCGAATATCGTGACCGTACGTCGAGCGGTTAAGATTTGTGCCCAACTGTTGACGGACGCACGCACGACCGGACGCACGCACGGACGCACGCTCATGCGATTCTAGAAGCTGCATCTGACTATGTCAGATAAGCTAATAAAAAATCAGGAGTAAACAATAATAGGTTATTATGATCTATTATTGTTTACTCCTGATATAATCATAGGCTTATATTTAGATGCCGAGAGGCAACATGCTGAAACTGCAGCTTAAAAGTGAAACTATATACACACTCTGTTAGTTATATTTACCAATACGCATGCAACTATCTAAGAGAAACCAAATTCTAATAAAGGGGCCCCCACAAAAATTTTAAATAAATTCTCAATAGATGAAAAATGCGACTCAATTTTAAAATTTACTAGTTTAGTAATAAGCCTAATAAACTAATTAAGACTAAAAAATAATATGCACACGTTGTAGCAGAGGAATTTTACTTACTTCTGCATACAGAGAGAAGTAGCCTTCGGATGCGTCTTGGCCAGTGACAATACCTCCACGGCGGTTGATCTGGCCAATCACGCTTCCCTGGAACTCGGTCGGGGCTGTAATCTCGACTGACATGACAGGCTCTATGATTTGCCACGCCCCACTTTCGTAGCCTATGTTAAAAAGAAGTACGGGAGAACATTCTTAGAGAGTGCTGTGAAGCAACGTCATGCGACGGTCATGCCGTATTTAAAGTAGAGAACTGATACAGATGCACGCACACACACATTATTATGCATGCATTCACACAAACACACACACGCACGACGTGCACATGCAGCATATGCATGCACGCACGCACGCACGCACGCACGCACACACACACACACGTTATCTTATATATGTGTGGGCAGGCATGCATTTATAAATTATATGAACGCATGAATTAAATTGTGTGTGTTGATAAATGGGTAAAACTCACATTGTTTGATAGCGCCAGTAGTAGCCAGGATAAACGAGATTTCATTGGAATCCACAATATGATGTGCACCTAAATTGCATAAAAAACACAAGTCATCAACAACACAACTGTTTTAACAACATAGATCGTACATGATATTGTGTATGAAAAGAACATCACTAATTGCACTCTATTCGCACCGTCTTTTAATCGGAGCCAGACACCAGATATCTTGTGGCCTGTGAGTGTGCCTTTCTCCAGTGCAAGTGCATAGCCCTTCTTTATGGCTGGAATGAATGGCTTCGGCACGTTTGTACCAGATGTCTCGTCTGTGAACTCCACCTTCGTGAAATCTTCTGGTGGCAAATTCTAAAAATGAGCACCCACACGTTAATGAATCTACATTTCATGCAATGAATGATGGAAAGGCAACACATTTGGTAGCCACTAACTGGAACTCTGCCACAGAACAATGTCTCTCCCACTCGAAGAGCACCAAAGTTTGCTTTGTTTTCTGATATTTGCAGACGCCATGAATTAGTTTCATTCCATCGGCTAAATTGAGTGAAAATAGACAAAACGTTGTGGACAGTGTATCAAAGCTATGCATGCCAATGTTTATTCTGCAGATGTGACCAGCTAACTTACGATGATAAGTTCATAAACGAGCCAAGTAATTTAATCACAGCTCACTATAGCACACTTCGTTTTTTGTCTCCTCCAATCCACAAAACTACGTGCAAGTCTTTCGATTTTACCAAAAGCACCCACGCTACATACCTCAAGCACGCCGATGACTCTACCGTATTGCCCAGAGCCTCCCGACTGCTTCTTATGCAAATAATCAAACCTGCAACACAAGGAGTTTTCATTTAGAGACTAGATTATAAGTGAAGCTTGCAGAATTTGGCTATATGAAGGCTTACTCTATTGGCTGGATCATATAACAAATGGGGGCCTCAGCAAGTGTTCATCACATGTGCAACCCTAGAAACGCAGAGGAGAATACACTCTGCTTTCATTTATATGAATTTTACGTAGTTATTGTGTAGGTCATACAAATAGGCCCGTTTGTAAAAATATATGTCAGAACATTACTACCATTCCCCAACACTTTCTTTTGCTATTAAATCACAGAATGTAATCTGCTAAAAAATACTGATATCACGAAACCTGCACGACCTTCATGTGACATCTACATGTGACTACATTGTTAGTGGTAAGGAGTACTTACTCTACTGGCTGAATGAGTGTTTCTCTAAAGCTGACCTTGGGCTTCCCTAACAAACACTTGCAGCTGTATTCTCTTTCCATACGCTGAAAATGAAGCGAATTGGATCAAATTAACTAAAGATGACAAAAACAAAGCCATATTTAAAAAGCAGGCATATCCCATTATCACCTAAAAATCTTTTGAATAGAAAAAAAAGCGAGCAAAAACGAATATAATTCGCCACTATGGAAGACTTGGGACGGGAGATTACATTCCATTGTAACAGGATTATGTTACCCAGGAACAAATCCCTGCTTTGTGTAATGACTTCATAATGAGTTTATTGCATGCCTAATTAGAAGACTTCAACTTTGACAATATCAGCTGAATAATAGCCAGTTGTCTGACACCTCTACCATAATAGGTCTCTATATAAACCAGCGATGCATAGTGACAGCAGTCACAGCACTGAATGGTTGCTGTTGCCACTGCTCCTGCTGTTACTGGTGCTGTTGCTCCTGCTGGTACTGATGTTGCTACTGATGCTGTTACTCATGCTGCTGTTGTTACTGCTGCTGCTGCTGCTGCTGCTGCTGCTGCTGCTGCTGCTGTTGTTACTGCTCCTGCTGCTGCTGTTGTTACTGCTCCTGCTGCTGCTGCTGCTACTGCTGCTGCTGCTACTCTTGCTGCTGCTGTTAGTGCTGATACTGCTGCTATTTTTGCTGCCATTACTTCTGCTTTTG